TAGATTTATCATATCCTCCTAATTTACACAGAACACATTTTGCAATAATTTCAACAAGCTTACGATATTTCCACTTATACAACAGATCTTTCCTCCAAGAAAATTTAGGCACTTGTAAATTGTCACTTATTCGAACTTCGTGCCAAAACTCAAGTTGATCAAAGTAGTAGTTATCGAGAGTTAAATCATCCTTAGAGAAATCAAAAAATTTTCTAACATCATTTTGACCAACAGACACTCTCACGCCATTCACAGAAGATTTAATCACATTATTTTTCAGTTTTGCATGCTTGAAGAAATCGAAAGCTTCATCATAAAAAGTACCCATATATTGAAACATGTAAACCTTTTGAAGCCCGCATTTCTCCAATCCAACCAAAATACTTTGAGCAAGTTTCAGATTTGTTGCAATCTTCTTGAAATCGGCTGGGTCGAGGAGATGCCTGGTGTTGATTTTCTCGATTGAAGCAGTGTGTGGTGTGTTCTTAGATGCTTTTCTACTTGAGGAAGTCCTTTTTGGAGTTCATTTGGAGTGGGTATCAAAGATGAAGTGAGGATGAGAGAATTTGAGAGGTTCGACTATGGAGTCTCGTAAAAGAGAGAGGAGAGAGTTTTTGAATCTGGGTTTGTTTGGAAGAGGAAGAGTCTTTTAAGGCTTTTAGGGCTAGAGGGACGAAAATGCCCTTAATGAAAGGCTTAGTGGGTTTTAAAAATTTAGGGCAGTTTGGTCAAATTAAAGGGTATGGAGTATTTTTTGTGATAATACTAGCACCATAGCAATTACTCAAAACCCAGTACTTCATTCAAGAACAAAGCACATTGATGTCCGACACCATTTCATACGAGATCACATTGAAAAGAAAGAGATCAAAATACATAATGTACCGACAAAAAATCAACCGGCAGATATTCTGACAAAGCCTTTGTGCGAATCATGATTTATCATTCTAAGTGTAATACCCACTATCTTGGAAATAAAAAAATATACCTATGTTATTAAAATAGGTCAACAAGTCAAAGGTTATTAAAATTGATATTGGATGAATTTACTAAATTACCCCTCTTTACCCTTAAAGGTTAAGGAACCACTTTGGTCTTGGATAAACATTTCATTTGAAAGAAGATAAGGGGAGCTAACTAGAGAGAGATAGGGGAAGGAAAAACCTTGGAGCTTTGATCTCCATCTTCTTCAAGCTTAGATCTCGAAGCTATTGGAGTATTCTAGGTAAGTTTAACCTCTATATTTCACTCTTTGAGTTGGGTTTATCACTTGAGCCCTAAGATTAATGTTTGAAAATATTAGGGATTTTGACACGGAGTATTTGGGCGAGCTTAATAGCTAAGATTTGGATGTTTTTAGGTAAGTGATTAACTTTTCTCTCCTTATTTTGGAAAACCCCTAAATATTATGAAATAATCTCCACTACTTTGAATCCCCATTTTAAGGTTAGTATGAGTTAAAAATATTTTAGACTATGATTATGTTTTGGGTCTGAAATGCTAAGTTGAATTCTGGATTGAAATTGTATTTGGGTTCGTTGGAATTGTGATTTCGGAATGTATTTTAAGCTAAATTAATTCTGACTGATACAATCACCATGTGTAGAGCCGGTAGAGTGGTTTTGTGGCTATTGTGTAGGTAGTAGGGCATGGGTTCAACTCTAACAACTAGCATATTGTGTGTGTTTGTTTTATATCATATGCCTTATAAAAATGGTTTGTTTGTTTAAAGTGAGACTTGAATTCTTAACCTCTTGTTTATTAACTTTAAGTTCTTTCCACCTAAGCCATTTCAATCCTTTTGAAATTACTTTGGTTTAATAAACCATTCTATGATGTCTAAAGAGTTATGTACTAAGAAAATTATTATTTTGAGAATGGTTTATACCTTGCATATTTCTTAGTTTGATAAACTTATTACCTATTTTGGAAATATGAACTTTGTTATGTGATTTTAAGAAAATGATTTTTGCTACATCGGGCTATTTGATTATAAGAACTATTTTGATTATTTGATCAAACTCATGAGGCAACCTACATTTTGTTGTTTGTTTTGTTTGGCTTGGAACGTTCCTAATTGCTCATTCCGAATCGTCGAGCTTGACTCATTCCGAATCGTCGAGTCTTTCGAATTATTTGTTGGAACGTTCCATCCGGCTCATTCTGAATCGTCGAGCCTGACTCATTCCGAATCGTCGAGTCTTTTTGGACCATTATACCGATAATGGCATGTGCCACATAATATAATGGTGGTTGTAGGTTGCCAATGAGTTATATGTAAAGGAATGATTGGTGCTTTTGAAAGTATTGTATTATGAAATAATATTGATGCCCATGTAGCTAAAGTTTTTCGTTTTGGGAATTTGTGTATAGTATGATGGAAGTATGTTATGATTTTGATATGATTTAAGGATTGAGTTTTGCATCTAGTTGTTACTCTAAAGCTTTTTGTATTACATTGGGGCTACTTGATCCGGGGTTGAGAGGAGTATCACTTACTGGGCATTAGCTCATTATTTGTATTTTTCTCCTGTTTCAGAGTAGTTAAGGACATGTGAATAGCACGAGAACAAGTGGTGGGGTCTCGAAGGTGACTTTTGAAACTTGGAGACTTAGTCCTAGTTTTGGAGCTTATCATGGATTTTTGTTTATTTAGACTTTCCCTTTGACCCTTTGTATTTTTGGTAGACCATTGTGCTTGGTTTTGGTGCTTGTGATGCATTTTGGACATACTACTCTTAATTATAAATATCTAATAGTGGATTTGATGAGTTTTTGGGAAGAACAAGTCGATTATATTTTATAATTTTGGGTTGTGGAATTATTGTATATTCAAGAGTTATTATAAAGATTCTGAGAGGTATGTATGGTTAGGCTTCGTATTGTTACAGGTCTTCACGTAACGATATGGTCGTGTCATGTCCTAAAAGTGGGGCGTGACAGAGTGGTATCAGAGCCTAGGTTTAAATCCTTAGTTGGTCAAGAAGTTAAGTTTAAATTTTGTAAGATTATGCTTTAACCTAGCGGATGATAAGTTTAGGCTTTGGCCAACTTTTGGATGTGGTTTCCTAAACATTTTCGCTAATGTGGTCATACTTTCTCTGTTTTGAATTTAAGGAGTATTGCTTTACAAGGATCAGAGGGGGTGTTCCTAAATGTGGTTGAACTCATCGAGTTAGGCTGTTGTTAAATGTGTCGCCTATTCGGAATGTAGTTGTAGATGTTTTTGTGTTGTGTGATTCAAGTTCTTCGCATTATTTTATTTATGAGAAGTTGCAAAGGATTTATATTTGCAAGCTAAGAAGTTGAGTGATCATTTGTATGTTAATAACCGTATGGGGAAGATGGTGGTGACAGATACTTGGTTTCAAGATTGTCATCTACAAATTAATGGGAGTGATGTGTCAATTGATTTAATTCAGCTCGATATGTAGGATTTAGATGTGATATTAGGAATGGATTGGCTATCCAGAAACTATGCCACATTGATTGTGCTCGTTGGAATGTGGTGTTTTAAATTCCTGGACAATCTATCTTTATGATTGGGACACTTTCCTAGGAGTGGAGTGTTGGTTTCGGAAGTGCCATTGAAAGTAATTTCTGCATTGAAAGCTAAGAAAGAATTGACAAAAGGGTGTAGCGGTTTCTTGACTTATGTAATGGATACCCACCAGAAAGAAGTTAAGTTAGATGATATCCTAGTTGTTAAGGAATTTACATACGTTTTCCTAGAGCGTTTACATAGGTTACCTCTAGATAGAGAAATTGAGTTTGAAATTGAGGTTGTTCCGGAACTATTCCAATCTCAAAGGCCCCTTACCGCATGGCACCATCTGAGCTACGTGAGTTAAAGGTGCTAAATACCTTTAAAAAAAATTGATTTGAGATTAGGGTACCATCAATTGAAGGTTAAAACTATTGATGTACCCAAGACTACTTTTAGGACCTGGTATGGCCATTATGAATTTGGTGATGCCGTTCGGACTAACTAATGCTCCTACTTTCTTTATGGATTTAATGAATAGGGTCCTCAAGTCTTTTCTAGACAAATTTGTTGTGGTATTTATTGATGACATTTTGCAATATTCAAAGAGTGAGGAAGAACATGCTCAACATCTAAGGACCATCTTGCACACCTTGAAGTGAAATGAATTGTATGCCAAGCTAAGTAAATGTGAATTTTGGCGTAAAGAGGTATTTTTTCTTGGTCATGTAATTTCTAGAGACGGGATTTCTGTAGACACAACTAAGGTTGAAGCAATAACACAATGGCCGAGACCCACTAATATTACAGAATTAAAGAGTTTTCTGGGTTTAACAAGTTATTACAAGAGATTTGTGAAAGACTTCTCATTAATAACTATGTCATTGATTCGGTTAACTCGGAAGGGTATAAAGTTTAATTGGGATGAGGAGTGTGAGAAGAACTTTCAAGAATTAAAGGAATTATTGGTTGGTGCACCTATCTTAGCCCTATTATCTGGGGAAGAAAGATTTGTTATTTATAGTGATGCTTCAAGAAGCGGATTAGGATATGTGTTGATGCAAAATGATAAGGTGGTAGCCTATGCCTCTTGACAATTGAAGTCTCATGAAGTTAACAACTCCACTCATGACTTAGAACTAGCAGCTATGGTTTTTGCTTTAAAAATTTGAAGGCACTACCTGTATGGAGAATCTTGTCAAATATTTTCAGACCATAAGAGTTTGGAGTGCCTCTTTACCCAAAAGGAAATGAACATGAGACAACTATGATGGTTGGAGCTAATAAAAGAATATAACCTCACTATTAATTATCATCCATGTAAAGCTAACATGGTAGCTGGTGCTTTAAGTCGTAAGTTTTCCACGGTTAATGTGATAGTGGTAACTACTCAAACCCAATTGTTGAAAGATTTTCAAGATTTAAAAGTTGAGGTTATTTTGCAAAATAAGCAAGGAAGGATATTAGAAACTATGATTACAAAATCGGTATTATTAGATCGCATTAAAGTTGCCTAAGTTGATTAAGATTCGTGGGAAAAATACAATTTGGGTTATTGTGGATCGACTCACTAAGCTTGCACATTTTTATACCCATTAAGAAGACCTAGCTAAGTTGTATGTGAAAGAAGTTGTAAGGTTTCATGGTGTACCTGTTAGTATAGTATCTGACTGAAACTCTTGATTTGTGTCAAAATTTTGGAGAAGCTTATAATGAGCCATGGGGACTGAATTAAAATTAAGCACTACATTTCATCCACAAACCGATGGGAAAACCGAGAGGACTATTCTGACCTTGGAGGATATGCTTCGAGCTTGTGGCTTGGATGTCAAGGGTAGTTGGAGTAAATACTTAACTTAAATTGAGTTTGCATATAACAATAGCTACCAATTGAGTATAGGAATGTCACCTTTTGAAGCTTTATTTGGAAAGAAATGTAGATCTCCTTTATATTACGATGAAGTTGGAGAAAGAAAGATCTTAGAGCCAAAACCTGTACAAATCACATTTGAGAAGATTCAATTAATTAGGAAAAGAATTAAAGCTTCCCAAGACAGACAAAAGAGTTGGGCTAACTTGAAAAGAAGAAAATTGAAATTCAAAGTTGGAGATTTTGTGTATTTAAAAGTTTCACCATCTCGAGGAGTAATGAGGTTTGGAGAAAAAGGAAAACTATGTGCACATTACAGTGGACCATTTGAGATTTTGAGTAGAGTTGGTAGTTTGGCTTATGAGCTAGCCATACCACCACAACTAGCTGGAGTACACAATGTATTCCATGTATCAATGCTACGAAGATACATTGCAGATCCGGGTCATGTTGTGGAGTATCAACCTTTGCAAGTTAGGATGACTTAACTTATGAAGAAATACATCTTCGCATCATTGACCAAAAGGAACAAGTATTGAGGTCCCGAGTAATCCCATTTGTTAAAGTGCAATGTTCACATCATAGTCCAAGAGAAGCAACATGGGAAAAGGAAGATGATATGAAGGATAGCTATCCTAAACTCTTCAAGTTTGATGGTATGTAAGTTTTGAGGACGAAACTTATTTTAAGGTGGGGTGATTGTAATACCCACTATCTTGGAAATAAAAAAATATACCTATGTTATTAAAATAGGTCAACAAGTCAAAGGTTATTAAAATTGATATTGGATGAATTTACTAAATTACCCCTCTTTACCCTTAAAGGAAGAAGATAATGGGAGCTAACTAGAGAGAGATAGGGGAAGGAAAAACCTTGGAGCTTTGATCTCCATCTTCTTCAAGCTTAGATCTCAAAGCTATTGGAGTATTCTAGGTAAGTTTGACCTCTATATTTCACTCTTTGAGTAGTTAAGGACATGTGAATAGCACGAGCACAAGTGGTGGGGTCTCGAAGGTGACTTTTGAAACTTGGAGACTTAGTCCTAGTTTTGGAGCTTATCATGGACTTTTGTTTATTTAGACTTTCCCTTTGACCCTTTGTATTTTTGGTAGACCATTGTGCTTGGTTTTGGTGCTTGTGATGCATTTTGGACATACTACTCTTAATTATAAATATCTAATAGTGGATTTGATGAGTTTTTGGGAAGAACAAGTCGATTATATTTTATAATTTTGGGTTGTGGAATTATTGTATATTCAAGAGTTATTATGAAGATTCTGAGAGGTATGTATGGTTAGGCTTCGTATTGTTACAGGTCTTCACGTAACGATACGGTCGTGTCATGTCCTAAAAGTGGGGCGTGACACTAAGGCATGATCGAAATGAGCTAAGTATTATATTTATTTTTTTAAGCTCAATTTGTTTAATTTAATTTTGGTTACCGTGTTTATCTTATTTTTGGTCACGTACCTATATGTGCTAATTGCATAATGTCTGTTAATTGTATTTTGAATGTTATGTAATTTCGTGTTAATTAAAATGCAATTTTTTTATAAAACAAAAAACGTGTCTTATAATCCTTAAAGCTTAAAGCTATCTTTTGCATGATTTTAACCAAATCTGTATGTGTCTTATGTGAAGATTTTGTAAAATTTTTACCCTACTTACTAGAGCAGCCAACTGTAAGCATAGAGTTTTATCTGGGACATGAAAATTTACTTTGAAAAAGTTGCTCTTGTTTGCATAACACATGTATCATGTGTCAGAGGATAAAATTTAATGTGCATCTACCTCTTTGAAAATTGGTTGAATTAATTCTTTATTATTATTTCTTGTTGTAGAAAATATTTTTGCATGTATCTTTTGTGCATGAATCTGATTCATCTGAGATATCATTGAGCTAAAAACCACTCCATACCCTTTAATTTGATCAAATTGCCCTCAATTTTTAAAACTCACTAAGCCTTTCATTAAGGGCATTTTCATCCCTCTAGCCCTAAAAGCCTTAAAAGACTCTTCCTCTTCCAAACAAACCCAAATTCAAAAACTCTCTCCTCTCTCTTTTACGAGACTCCATAGCCAAACCTCTCATATTCTCTCATCCTCACTTCATCTTTGATACCCACTCCAAATTAACTCCAAAAATGGCTTCCTCAAGTAGGAAAGCATCTAACAACACAGAACCCACTACTTCAATCGATAAAATCAACATCGGGCACCTCCTAGACCCAGCTGATTTCAAGAAGATTGCAACAAATCTGGAACTTGCTCAAAATATTTTTGATGGATTGGAGAAATGCGGGCATCAAAAGGTTTGCATGTTTCAATATATGGGTATTTTTATGATTAAGCTTTCGATTTCTTCAATCATGCAAAAATGAAAAATAATATGATTAAATCTCATGTGAATGGAGTGAGAGTGTCTATTGATCAAAATGATGTTAGGAATTTATTTGATTTCTCTAAGGATGATTTAACTCTCGATAACTACTACTTTGATCAACTTGAGTTTTGGCATGAGGTCCGAATAAGTGACAGTTTACAAGTGCCTAAATATTTTGGGAAGAAAGGTTTGTTGTCTAAGCGGGAATATAGTAAGCTTGGTGAAATTATTGCAAAATGTATTCTGTGCAAATTAGGAGGATATGATAAGTTTACCTTACAAATTGCTAGTATGTTAGATTGGAGCAAAGTGATTTTTGACCGTTTAATTACCATGGTGAAGGAAATGAAAAGCCAAGCTTTGGTCTAATGATTGGTGAAATTTTGAGGAAGAAAGGCATCAAGATGAATGATAGAAAACCAATTCTCTCTAGCAAGTATTTGTTTCGAATTAATGATAAAAGAGAAAGGGTAGAAGAAGATGTTAATGAAGAAGATGACGATATTCCCATAAGCCGTGTCTTTAGGAAGAAAAGAACCCCAAGAGTGGAGATTATAGATTAAGATGTGATTGTTGAAGATGAGAAAGTGGTTGTTGATGAGCAGAATGTGACCTTGGACAATTCCAACACATTCCAGGCTGAAAACAATGAAGAAACTACAGGGGATGACCAAAGGGGTGAAGGGGATGGCTTTATGACAGATTTGAGTACTGATTTTGTGGTAAATGATGAACCAGTTTTACCTACTGTTCAAGTGGTTGATCCAGAAGCTGAGGAAGAAGGGCACCACCAAAGAGAAAATGTTGAGTTGGATGACCAACCAAAGGAGAATGAAGTCCAAAATGAAGTTGATGAAAACTTTAATGTTGAGTTCTTGGCATAAAATTCGAATGATGTTGAGGAAACCCACAAAGGCAATGAAGAAAAAGATTCCAATGTTGAAGTTGTCAAAGCATTAACGAAACTCAAGGAGGCTATCCAAGCTACTGACAAGTCCATTAAAAATGATTACCAAACACTCTGTGATCATTTTTTTCGGACTGGCCGAGCGTGTTGAAGGCTCTAACACAACAATTCATGAATTTTTGAACACTTTTGTTGACAGGTTGACCGTAGCTCTTGAAGAAGAAAGAAAAGCTCAAGCAAATCTTGAAGAATCACACCATGACGAGAATTTGGTGCACAAAATATAGCATGAGAAGTTGATTTTTAGAATGTGCATGGAGGTGGAGAAGCTACGAAAATCAAATGAAAGAATTGACACATATGAAGGAGAAATTCGAATGATAAAAAAGGAGCTATCTATAATCAAAGATTTTCTCCAATGGATGGCTAGTACTACTTTCCGTACCGATTCGGTAGTCAAGGAGATAGTTACTCTATCACCAGAAAGGTACAGACATGGTCAAATCTATTTTTGATTACACCAAAAAGGGGGGAAAAGGGACAACCCTCTCATTTTGGTGGACTTGGAAATTTTGGTGGACATGGTGGCCAAGGATCAAGCAGTTCGAGCATTGCATACCTTTAGGGGGAAGGAGGTTCACCAAGTGAAGATATAATTGCATCATTTGTAGCTCTCATACCAGACGTGTCCGATTTGAAGGAAGGTAGGAAGGATCATCTTCAAATGTGCTAAGTGGTACACACGAAATATTTTTCCCACAAGCAAAAAAGACATACGTGGTGCATTCTCATGCTATCTCAAAGGCCAAGTTAAGCAGATTTATTATCATGCAAATTGCAAAGGTAATTTTGTTAAGCAAAGAGTTAGAGTTAATAGCATGATTGGACCATGAAGATGTTTAGTACATCAATATATTTTGCTAAGTATGTAAATATGACTTGTTAACTTTGATGCAGTACTAAAATTAATCTATCTAGTCATATCATATTTATCCTTATTCTTTTTAATTTTTAGACAAATGATTAGCTTTGTAAATGCAATTTCAGGAAGAGAATAAAGTTGATAAAAATTAAAATTAATCCTCAAAAATTGCAACATTCTTTACGTGTCTAAAAGTAAAAAGTCTTTAGGTTCAAATTTTGTTAAACTCGACAAATTTACTAGTCAAAATAAAATAAAAAGAAAGAAAAGTAAAAGATTATTGTTTTTGACTGGACTAAGCCAAAATGATCAGGTATAGGTTTTGGCATCATCAAAAAGGGGAAATTTGTAATGAATAAGGTGCAATAGTTTTGATGAGCCAAAATTGTATTTTTAGAAATTCCCTATTTTATTTTGAGTCTAGTTGTCTATTTGTCTAAGTCCCAAGTCGAGCGACAAATTCTACGAATTTCTTAGCAAAATATACTTATCCAGAATATTACTATTTGAGAAGTATTTACCATGGAAAACACTAAAGGATTAAGTGGTGAAGTGGATATATAACAAGGTTGCCAAAGTTAGAGGTCACAGGTTTGAGACTCAATCTTTACATTTTTGAGATGGAGATAAAAAAGCATACTCGAATTTATTTATTAATTTATCCAAAATGCGCTACTAAAGTCATTCTTGGAATAAAGATTATATCCAGAGATATTAACCAATGTGTTAATATAGCATAGTGGTAAAAGCTTAGGAGACATACTTTGTTGGGCTTGTGTTCAAATCTTATTAGAAGCATATTTTCGAAAAGATGACACTAACATCCAGAGATATTAATCAATGTGTTAATATAGCATAGTGGTAAAAGCTTAGGAGACATACTTTGTTGGGTTTGTGTTCAAATCTTATTA